GGAGGGGGGTGGGGGAGGAGGAGGGAAGTTCGGGCGCTGAGCCTCCACCCTGGCCTTGCTTATCTGCAGGTGGGTTGGCCAGTGAAAAGGACTACCCATTCCGGGGGGACGTCAAACCCCACAAGTGCCTGGCCAAGAAGTACAAGAAGGTGGCCTGGATCCAGGACTTCATCATGCTGCAGGACAACGAGCAGAGTGCGGGCAGAGCGGGGATGCGGGCAGAGCGGGGCGGGAGCAGGCCTGGGGGCAGGATGACAGGGACAGACAGACCAGGATAGAGGCAAAAGACTGGACTAGAGACAGAGACGTAGGCACAGAGAGGTGGGAGGTGGGGTGGGGGTAAGACTATGAGGCAAGAGTAGGGGGCAGAGAGGAAGCAGGGCCTAATGGTACCTTCTACCCCCAGCAATCGCCTGGTACCTGGCCACCCAAGGCCCCATCACCGTGACCATCAACATGAAGCTACTGCAGGTGGGAAAGGGTTGGGACTGGGGGGAGGGACATCTAGGGGAGGTGGCCTCAGACTCAGCCCCTCTGCCCTTGCAGCAATACCGGAAGGGTGTGATCAAGGCCACACCCGCCACCTGTGACCCCCGGCTTGTGGACCATTCTGTCCTGCTGGTGGGTTTTGGGACGAGCAAGTCAGTGGCGGGGAGGCGGGCAGAGGGAGGCTCATCCCAGCCTCATCCTCGCCGCCCAATCCCATACTGGATCCTGAAGAACTCGTGGGGTGCTGAATGGGGTGAGGAGGTGAGTGTGATCTACCCGAGGGCACAGGGCAGGACAGGCCTTGCCCCACCTTCCGGCTCTGATGTCCCCTTGACCTCCTAGGGCTATTTCCGGCTGCACCGCGGAAGTAATACCTGCGGCATCACCAAGTACCCGCTCACGGCCCGCGTGGACCTATCGGCGAAGAAGCGTCCGGTGTCCTGCCCTCGCTGAGCCTGCGCCGCCGCGCTTCAGCCCTCTCCCGCTGTGCCCGCTGTCTCCTTGTTGCCCCCACCCCAGGCTTTTGCCTGTCCTCCTAATCCTGCTATGGCTTGAATAAACCAAGATGAGCTCCCTGTCTTGCACGTGAACTCAGCTGGGGTGGGGAGAGCGCAGACGCCCCACGCTCTGACACATCCTAGGCTCTGTGGGGCCCCCATACACATACATCCCTATGCACGGGCATCATGACGCTCAGAGACAGATGTGTGTACGCCCATGCACACTCCCGCGCACGGGCTCCTCCAAAGTCACGGCAGCTTTATTGTCAGTGTGGGCAGGGCAGTGGGAGGGGACCTCAGTCATGATAGAGGCGCAGGAGGCAGCCACGGAGGGTGCCCATGTAGCGATCCCAGAGGGCCTGGTGCCTGCAATGGAAACAGTGACAGGGGCCTTCGCCTGAATCCCCATCATGTGTGAGATGCTGCTCCAAGAGCTTCATACACCTAAGTGCTTCCTCACTCCTCACACCACTCCTACGGTTATTATCATCATGATCCTCCCGTTCCACAGGGGAAACTGAGGTGTGGAGAGGTTCAGGAGCCTACCTAAGATCAGGTCACAGCCTCTAAGAGGAGGGCCCACAGACTTCCACCCCTAGGGCAGAGGAGAGAACCCTGCATCTGCAGGAGGGTTACGCCCTGGCAGGAGGCTGCCTACAGCAAGACCAAGCTGGAAAGGAAGCCTGGGGTCTCTCACCGGAAGCCATCCAGGGAGTGGACAGATGCCGAATACTGATTCAAGAAGAGCCGCACATCACTCAGTGGCCAGTGGTCAGAACGGCAGGGTTCCACGAACTGTGGGCCCAAGGAAACATCTAGCGCTGGTACAGCCCAGGGACAGGTCAGGTTGGGGATCAGAGGGCAGCAGGCAGGACGGCTCACCTTCTCCACGAGGTCCACAAACAGGTCTCTGACATCCTTATTGTGGGTCAGCTTGGCAGCCACGTTCACCAACCCCCGGGACAGGTTCTGTGGGGCAGAGAGCCTGAGAGTTCTGCCTTCTGTCCCCGAGGCTGGAGGCTGAGCCCAGCAGCTGGAGGAGAGGCATGTCCCTCCCCGAAATCTATCCACCTCCCTCAATCAAATAACTCCCCAATGTGCCCCCCCCCCCGCCCACCTGAGGTGGGTGGAAGGAGCAGCAGCAGGGCTACCCGCTCCGGCATGAGCAGAGTTGCCCCATGGGGACAGTGCAGTGAGGCTGAAGATGCCCAAGGGACAGAGGCTGGATTGGGCCACAGACCTTGAAGTTGGCTTCCATCTCAGAGAAGACACCAAGCTTTCCCCGAAGGGCAGTACACACCAGGCTGCAGGGAGACAGGGTAAGCCCAGAGGTGCTGGGGCCCCTACTCATGCCCCGGCCCGAGGACTCCCCATGGTCACCTCTTGTGCAGGTCCAGAAGGTCCTTGTCAGCCACAAGCATTTTGAGCTCCTTCAAGTCCTGGAGAAACTCCTTGTCTAGATCCACATCCATGTCATCCACCTGGGAGTCTGGGGGAGGCCCAGCAAGGGAATGGGGGTGGGGGTAAAAACCCCTCCGGTGATATCCGGAGCCTTCCACACCCATCATCTCAGCGCACCCCGTGACAGAGAGAAGGGAGTGTCGGAAAGGTGGAGGGACTTGCCCCGGGCCACAGACAAGTTGGCGGGCCCTTTGTCTGCAGACGAGCTGTGCGAGGGGACACAGCTATGAGCAACAGTGGCTGTGCTTCAGGCACTGAAGAAGAAAGGATGCTGGAAACTGGGGCCTGCAGGAGAAACTGTTGGCGGGGAACCAGGTCCTGAGAGGGTGGGGAGGTATCGGGCACCTGGGTGAGTGGGGGTCTCACCGACGGCTCCGAGGGTCCAGTTCTGGATCATCAGCTCAGCACAGTAGGCAAAGTCACCAAAGCTCAGATACTGCAGTTTTTTCTTCCCTGTCTCGAAACGGTTGTTGGCAAAGAAGACGATGGCCGCATAGTCCCTGCAAGGAGGGGAGAGTGAGCCTGTCAGGGTTTCAAATTCCTTTTTAGCGAGCAGCTCGAACCTGTGACATTGGCGGGGCATCCAACTTCCGGCCTGTCTCTGCCCCAGCTCACTATGTGACGTGCTTCAAGCCACTTCTCTCTGGGCCTCCCCATCTGCATACAGAGGTTTCAGCCCAGGTCTCCTAAGGGGAACAGAGGGAGACCTGAGCATAACAGTTACCATTTACTGAGCACTTCCTAAGCCCCAGGGGCTGCAACACGGGATTTACATGTGGCATCTCACAACAGCCCCGCTGGTAAATGGCCAGGCTGGAATCTGAAGCCAGGCCAGTCTGATCCAAAGCGCAGACCAGGAGTAGGAGAGCCATCCCCCAATGCAGCCAGGAGGTCAAGTGGGTTGGGGTGGGGAAAGTGGACCTGCCTTATGGCCCAAGGAAGAAGCTTGCAGGAAAGGGAGATGGCTGGCTCTTTGCCCAGCCCCTCACCTGGCCAACCGGTCAGACAGGAGGAAGTGTTGCTGAATGTTATCCACCAGGGAGCCCCGCATTTCCTCCACCACCTTGAAGACTCGCTTAAAGTTGTCAAACTGTAGGGCAGTTAGGGGAGGAAGGAGGGCTGGTCAGAGGCTGGTCATTCAATAAACTGATTACTGAACATCCTTCCCTCACCTATCCATCTATTCAGTCAACAGATGCTGACTTAGCATGTGGTATTCTTCAATAAACTATTAACTGTTAATACCTGTTATCAATTCAAGCATCTTGCCCTGGATAAATGTTTACTCACTCCTACCTCTGAATTCCCCCTATTTTAGCATCATGCTCTCCATTTCTTCATGAGCTCGTGTTGGAACTGACTCTCCTGGCTGAGGTCCAGGAAGTAAAAAAAAAAAAACAAGCAAATGCTAAGCTGTTCAGGAGTGCACAAAAGACACAGAGAAAAAATACTAAAGGCCCAGAAGGGTTACTTCTCCCTTCCGGGCCACCAAAAAGGCTTGTGGAGTAGGTGGCATCTGACCCCCTGCTTTGTATTTCAAGGGGTAGATAAGGTCAAGAATAGTACCCTCCAGGTAGGAGTAGCAGGAGCAAAAAGAAAGCCAGGGGCTGGAGAAATATAAGCGGAGAAAGGCTGGCAGAGACCAGATCACAGAAGAGTATGACGGTCAAGGCCAAGGAGTGTGGCTACTATCCAGGATGGAGTGGGAGAGTCAATTAAAGTTTACGAGGAGGGGAAAGCTATGGTCAGATCTGAGCTTCTGAAAGAGTAGCTCCTGCAGGGGAGTAGGAGATGCTTTGGAAGAGCAAAAAAAGGGACAAGAGACTGGGTATGAAGCCCCTGCCACAATCAGAGGTGGGGGAGGAGAATGGAGCTGGGGCAGTGACCAAAGGGATGGAGTGAAGGGACAGACTGGACATGGGATGTTGTGTTGGGGGGCAGGGATGCAGTGCCCACTTGTCTCCGGCAGCTCTTGAGGGTGATGCCTGTTTTGGTGCTGATGTCGTCCAGGTCTTTCTTGGTGCCCTTGGACAGTTTCTTGCCCAGGACCTCCCGCACAAAGGCCTCGTCAAAGGCATAGTACCTGCGTGGAGGCAGAGGACACCACTGACTTTCCACATAGGAGGGAAACGGGGGTCCGGCAGGGCCTAGGTTTGGCCCCTCCTGCTCTCAACTTTCTCAGACCTTGTGTAAGTCCCATCCCAACCCGGGCCTCAGTTTCGCCCTGCAAAATGGGTATATGGTCAGCCTGATGGGTGTCCCACCTCTCGATGAGCAGCGCCTGTCGGGAGGGCGGGATCTGGAAGATGAGCTGGTGCAACAGCTTGGGCGGTGCGTGCAGCAGGCGCTCGAGCATGTGGAAAGTACGGTAGTGGTCCATGGTGTCGCTCTGCAGCACGGCCGCCGTGGCGCCTGTCTGCTCCAGGATTCCCGAGCGCACCCTCAGGGCCACCGCGTCGCTCACTGGGGAGCGGGCGCCAGCATTAAGCCCCGCTCCGCGAACCCACAGGCCCTCGGGAGATCCCAAGTCCGACTTCTAAACACCCCTTACTCCCTCTGCCCACTTCCCCAAAGGACGGGAGTCCTGGCCCCGCCCTCTCCCATCCCAAACCACCGCCCCTCCTGACCCGCTCCGCAGACGGCCCCCCACACACCCGAGTAACCATCCAGCCAGAGGCGATACACGTCCTCGTCGATGAGGGTCGTGTTCCCTACGAAGATGTCCAGCTCGCTGGTCATGGCGACGCCCAGACCCGGGCGCACTTGCAGAGCCCCGGTTGGAGCGAGCACTGCCCGGGCCGGGCGCGCCGCCCGCAGGCTACTTCCGGGAGCGCCGAGATTCGGCTCCCGGCACCCGGAGCCAGAGAAGGACCACTTCCGGGACAGAGAGGGTGGGGGCAGAAGCGGCGAAGGAAGAGGAGTAGCCCCTCCTCCCGGCGGGAGGGGCAATCCCAGGCTCCTCGTCCCCGCCCCCCATCCTGGCCCAGTTTGCAGGAAGACTTCGGGAGTCGAGGCCAATGGCCAGTCTCCCCTGCGCTGGCAGCCTTCCCCCACACTTCCTTCTGGCTTTTCTCCCACTTTCTCTGCCCTTTTCTGGGCCTCCCTACTTTGACGTGTATCTTAAATGTAGGGGTTTCACAGGTCTCTGTCCTAAATCTTTTCTCTGCAAAAAATGTATCTGACCTAACTTCCAAGGGGCCTTGCTGGGAGCGCCTCAGTCCATCCTGCAGCTGAGCAACTCTCCTGGGCATGGGGCACGTGCTCCCATGGTTTTAACCCCCCAAACCCCACCCCCCTGCACTAATGACTTCTCTTACTCTGTAGCTCAGAGCTCTGGCTGGAAGTCCACATCAGAGGGCTGCCTATCTGCTCGTCTTTCTACGCTGTCTACCCTACAGGTCCCTCAAAAGCTAGACAGGTCTCTTTCCGATCTGTTTCTTTCCTGCGTTCCTATCTCAGTGACAGTCCCAACATTCACCCAGTTCTCATCCCAGAACCCTGTGCTTTCTCCCAGAGTCCTCACTCCTCACATTCAGTTCTGCTGATTTGCCTCCTGAATATTTCTAGGATGTTTTGTCCTCTCCACCCCTACTGGCACTGTCCCAGCCCAGTCCTTCTGCATAGCTCTACCTTGCCCATTGACACAGTGTTCTTACTAATCTCCCTGCCTACGTCTCTTCCCCATGGTTCATCCCACACAGAGCAGCCGGAATAATTTTTTTTTTAAAGATTTTATTTATTTATTTGACAGAGAGAGAGAAAGCAAGAGAAGGAACACAAGCAGGTGGAGAGGGAGAAGGAGAAGCAGGCCTCCCATCGAGCAGGGAGCTCGATGCGGGGCTCGATCCCAGGAACCTGGGATCATGACCCAAGCCGAAGGCAGACGCTTAACGACTGAGCCACCCAGGCACCCCCGGAATAATTTTTTTAATGCATATTTTAAAATGTTACTCCCCTGCTTAAAATCCTACGGGCTGGCCTGTGGCAACGCTCCAGCCAACTACCTTTGTTGCTTCTCTCCCTCATTTTACCATTTTCTCCACACAACTACCTTTTGAAAACATCGAGCTACTCTCACGGTTCCTAAAGCAGCTAGGCCCCCAGTGTCTTTCACCATGCTATTCCCGCTCCCTGAAATAGCTTTCTCTTTACTTGCCAAACTCCTATACATCTTTCGGGGCCCCTCAGATTACCACCTCTTTGGGGAAACCTTGTTTTGGGGGGTGGAGATCCCTCAGACCATGCCCATCCCCCGTTTACTTCTGGTTTTACACAGCCTGTCTCCCCCACTAAATTACGACCCCTTTGGGCGCTTGAGTGGCTCAGTCGGTTAAGCCTCTGCCTTCGGCTCAGGTCATGATCCCAGGATCCTGGGATTGAGTCCAGGGTCAGGCTCCCTGCTCAGCGGGGAGTCGTCTTCTCCCTCTCCCTCTGCCCCTCCCCCCTGCTCGTGCTCTTTTTCTCTCTCTCAAGTAAATAAATAAATAACATCTTTAAAAAAATAAATTACGACCCCTTTGAGGACAGGATCAGAATCTTAGTCAAGTTTATTTCTGCCTGAGCTTTGCATACAATAAAAGTTTATTGAACAAATGAATCCCTGTATGCGCCTCCCCCCGGGCACGAAAATTTCCATGAAAGGGCAGGCTGATGCTGAGTCACGCACGTCTGGACTCGGCTCCAAAGAGCTGGGAGAGATGTTCAGTGAGCCGAGACTCTCGAGCATGAACTATGCTAGGAAAGTTGGTAACGAGATAGGTCTGGGTGCCGTCGAGGGGTGGGCAGGAGAGTCGGTGGCCGACGCCGCAGTCTTGGTTCTCAGAAGGAGCTGAGAGGCCTAGGCGAGAGCTTGAGGAAGTTTGGAACTGGGAAGTACGAAGCGCCTAGTTTGGGGTCACCTGTCGGAGGGTGGTGGCGCTGGGACACAGCGTCCAAGACGGTCCGTAACTCCGCGGTCCGGAGTGGGCGGGGAAGTGGCTCTCTCTTTCTCTGTAGTCTGCGCTCAAGTCCCGCCCCTTTCCGGGGAGCCTTCCCTGGATTGGCTGTCCTTCCTTAGCGTCATACGGCCCCGCCCCGGCGCGCGCCCCGCCGCGTGCCCACCCCCGGGGGCTGCTGCAGCCTACGCTATACTGCCACAGCCTGCCGCCCGCGGAGCCCGAGCCCGACCCGGAGCGCGCAGAGCTCGACTTGGGCTCCTGGGCCGCGGCGGCGGGCAGGCGATGCTCCAGAGGCCTGAGCAGCCATGGAGGCCGAGGCGGGCGGCCTGGAGGAGCTGACGGACGAGGAGATGGCGGCGCTGGGCAAGGAAGAGCTGGTGCGGCGCCTGCGGCGGGAGGAGGCGGCGCGCCTGGCGGCTCTGGTGCAGCGCGGCCGCCTCATGCAGGAGGTGAATCGGCAGCTGCAGGGTCACCTGGGCGAGATCCGCGAGCTCAAGCAGCTCAACCGGCGCTTACAGGCCGAGAACCGTGAGCTGCGCGACCTCTGCTGCTTCCTGGACTCGGAGCGCCAGCGCGGCCGGCGAGCCGCGCGCCAGTGGCAGCTCTTCGGGACCCAAGCATCCCGAGCCGTGCGCGAGGACTTGGGCGGTTGTTGGCAGAAGCTGGCCGAGCTGGAGGGCCGCCAGGAGGAGCTGCTGCGGGAGAACCTGGCGCTTAAGGAGCTCTGCCTGGCTCTGGGCGAGGAGTGGGGCCCCCGGGGCGGCCCCGGCGGCGCTGGGGGCTCAAGCGCCGGGCCGACACCCGAGCTCGCCTTGCCCCCCTGCGGGCCCCGCGACCTGGGCGATGGAAGCTCCAGCACCGGCAGCGTGGGCAGTCCCGATCAATTGCCCCTGGCCTGCTCCCCAGATGACTGAGGGCTCAGCTTCCTTCACGTCGACGCTCGACCAGACTGCTTCCCAAGCGCCGGGACTGAGGTGGACCTCGGGACCTGGACGCCGTCCCGCCTGCGCACGAGGGGCCGCTGGCATGGATTTGGAAACTCTGGCACCAAGGAGGGCCCCTCGCTCTCGCTGGTGGGGCAGCAGGGGGACTGGAGGCTGGAAAGAAGGGACTTGCTGGGGGCGGGGTGGGGGCTAATAAACTGGAACGGAAGCAGAGCCCGTGGCCTGGGCAGCGTCTGTTTGGGACTCGCCGGGGTGGGGACGAGGGCGGGGACGTTGAGACAGGGTACCATTCCCATCCGGAGGGGCTGCAGACCTAAGGTGGCTGACTCCCCCACTACCTCAAGCCTGGGGCGGGATGTGGGACCGTGGTAAGCCCCTGGCTCCCCCCATTAGGCTCGGGACAGGCAGTGATCCGGCCCCTGAAGTGGCTCCAGCTCCCTTCCCGGCTCCTTCCTGTCCAAGACAATGGGGCAGGAAGCAGGTGTTGGGGGCCTAGAACCCACTCAGCGGCCTCCCCCGAGGCTGGACGGGGCATAACAGCGCCCTCCTGTGGCCCATGCAGGAGCGCTGTGGGCCCCCATCAGGAGGAAGATGATAATCCTTTTGGCTTGCACCCAACGGCACTCTATTCCTCCTCTCAGTCTTAGAGACGAGGCAGAGCAGATGTAACCTCATTTGTCAGGTAAGACAACCGAGGTCCAGAAATATCAGATAATTTGTCCAAACTCATGCAGTAAGTCCACAGAGCTGAGACGGGAGCCTCGGGCTTCTGGTTCCAAATGTTCTCCCTTTTGCCTCTGGGTTCAATGAGACCAGGCCAGAACTTCGAGCCTTTTATTGCATTTCGGCCGGTTTGTATAAAAATACTCTCTGCGGGAAAATAAATAGCAGCTGCCTTCGTTGTGGAGGCTTGGATTCCCTGGAGCTAAAGTCTTCTCAGAGCTGGGGGGGCTGCAGGTCAGCTCATCACAGAAGCCTCTGGCACTCTCCTGCCATTCAGGAGGGGCCAGCAGAATGCCCTGGTTCAATCACTTGGTGCTGCTGGCAGTGTGGGGCTGGGTGAGTTAGTGTTCTAGGCTGGTAGAGTATCATCTTCTGTCAGAGCAGGATTGGGTGGATCACAGGAAGAGGGTGATGAAGACTGTAGGTGTGGTCTGGAGGGGCTTAGGGCTCTAGAGGACCTCTAGGGATCTACAAAGTCCTTTTTGGTTGCCAGGAGTTCCCTCGCACAAATGGGAAATATTTTGTCTCTGATTTAGTGCAAATTATGCTAGAGAAGCCAGCTCTGGAAAAACAGTGGGCAGCTTTGGTGGCCCCAAGCTGACTCTCCTGGGAAGCAAAATATGCTCAGTCTCATCTGGAGGGATGGAGAAGAGCCTGCTGGGGATGGGCATGGGATATGGTCCAGACCAGCTGGACCAATGGGTGGGGAGACATTGGCTAGAGTGGGACCCGCCGGTAGGGGGCTGGGGTGCCTCATAAGGCAAGGAGGGTGGGGGAGCCGAGAGGGTCAGAGGATGGGTCCCCGCTGCTGCTGCTACTCCTGCGATGGGCTGAGGCGCAGGGCTCAGGGGTGCTGGGGTAGGTGAAGACCGGACTAGGGGTGAAAGGAGTCAGGGAGGGTGTGGTCATGAGCGTGGGGGTGTGCAATGCTTCGGGTTCAAGCACAGGCCCCGAGGAAAGGGAGATACAAGGTACAGGGCAGGAGGGAGCTGGTGGGCTGCTGGTGCCGCTGGTACCGCCCCGGCCGCCCGTGTCGCTCTCCGTGGCCCTCTCCGGGATTTTGCAGATGGGGCGGTGGGCTTCAAGCACCAGCTCCAGGCGCTCCTTCTGCTTCTGCAGCTCCTCAATCTCTCGCTGCAGACCGGATTTCTCGTCCTCCAGTTTGTCAGTCTCCTGTGGAGGGTTAGGAGAGGAGTTAGAAGATGAGGGCTGAATACCGCGTAGCCTCCGGAGGTGGTGGTAATTGAGGGGTGGGGGTGGGTCTCCAGCGAGTCTGGACTACAACTCCCATGAGCCCCTGGGAGAAATGGGCTCGACTCCCATCAAGCCCCGGAGCATCTTAGAAGGAGGTTGTCCGCCGAAGCTTTAGCTCTCCTCGGCTTTGCTGGGAGTGAGACGCGCTGTAACTAATTTTTAATCGCTTTTTCCTCGTCGTTTTCTCCGAAGGAATGCTCCTCCGACGGGAGCCTGGGGGAAGGGGACTTCATATACGGGCTCCCCCTGGGGCCCCGCAGGCTCAGGGGAGTCACGGCCCTCTGAGGTTCGGTGGGCCGGGGCCTGGACACCCTCCGCACCGGCCGGTGCTCACCGCCTGCAGGAAGTCGGTCAGTTCCTTCCTCCGGTTCCTGCACTTGGCCGCGGCCAGCTTATTCCGCTCGCGCCTCACTCGACGGCGCTCCTCCTCCTCCGGGCTGATCTGGACGGGTAGAGGGAGTAGTGAGGTAGACCCTGGGCCACTGGTTGCCCGGCACTCGCCTTGTGCGGTGGCCCAGTGCTAGGACCCTGGCGGAGGACATGGCGGTGCAGCCCCCCCCCCCCCCGCGCCCCTGCGCTTCAGGGACCAC